ATTCTGGGAGTTGAAGTCCACACATCTTAAAGTTGCCAAGGTTGAGAAACACTGGGTTAAACTGAGCGCCAGGGCATTTGGCCTCCGGAGGGCGCTGTGAGGCTGTTTCCCGATTTCCGCCAGGCGCTCTCGCTGCTACGTGGCTTCTCTCGCTGGTTGCTCTCTAACCGGGAGGGGGACCTGAGAGGAGGAAGGTCCGGAAGCGGCTGGCCCGGGCGGACGAGGCAGCGGTGCGTGAGTGGGGCGTCTCCACACGCGGGCCCCCTTCGGCAGCGAGGGCTCCCCTTTGGTCTTGGCGTCCAGGGGGGCAGATTGCGGCGGGTCTGTGCGTCTCTCTCTCTCAATCTCTCTCAGTCTCTCAATCTCTCCCACGCCCACCGGCTTGCTTGGTCTCGGCTTGCCTGCCGCCGTCGTCCTCCTCGCCGTCGCGCGGGGTGGCGAGGCTGGTGGGTGGGTGGCCCTGGCGCGGGAGGGAGGGTGCTGCTGCTGCAGGACTTTTTTGAGGCGCTGCACGGAGGAGGGCTTCTGTTCTGGCACTGGCGAGGGGCGAGGGTGCCCGCGAGCCGCCCAAGCCGCCCGAGAGCCCCAGAGCGCACCCGGGTTGGACTTGGCCGCGGGGGAGCCGGGCTCTCGGTGCCCGTTTCGTCCTGCGGACTCCGTGGCTCGCACGTCTTGGCTGCTCGGCTCGCGCGGCCAGCCCCGTTCAGCGTTACGCGAGTCCTGCCTGCGTGCTTAACCTGTGCTCAGTGTGTCGTCAGACTCAGAAATCTGGACTCATTGGCTGAACTGGTTCGGTTAGCCCTGGGTGCGGGTGTCGTGCCACACACCCACTGAAAACCGGTTTTCCCGATGGAAGAACTGTTGGGATCGGGGCTGAGGGAGAATTTTGAAAATACCCGATTCACTTGGGGCCATTTCATGACGCCTGCTTACTGAACTTGGCTTGGCAGAGATTCAGCAGCTGCAGATTTCCCCACTGTGAAGATAGGCAAAGGGCCTAATGTTTGTATCACACGATGAAAAGCTCCTTGCTCTAAAAAATAATTATAAATAACTTTATCTGCAAGTAGCAAGCACAGTAATTTTATATTCCACAATTTCAGTTTCCCTACAGTAACTGTGAAAAACTGCAAGGAAGGATATACCAAATAGTTCTGGTGGGCTCAATTCCACAAGGTTAGGAAGCTGGTTTTGCTTCCATCCTAGGGCTGTCTCTAAAAATACAGTGAAAGATGCCCTTGATTTAAGCTTGACTTCTTTTTCTCATGCAAGTGATCATTCATTTGTTTTGAGAAAAGAGCACCCTAGGCACATAGTGCAGTTAAGCTGCATGAGAAAGTTACCAGTTGATTTAACATTGGATATCACTTAGTCAGTCTTGGCTGATCCCCAAATGTTGAGCAAGTTGTACCTTGTTAGTACTTAGATGAGAGACCTCCAGGAAATCCTAGCTATAGGCTAGATAGGGAAGTTGAAAAAACATTGTGGAAGAAGGCAGTGACAAATGACTTCTGTATTGTTGCCTAGATAGTTACCACTTGGGATATTTCTGCATCTTGCAGTACAGGCAAGTGGTGCTCAGCTTGGTAAGATCTTGTAATATATGTCTAATTTATATCTGTATGTACATTAAAAAGACAGGTCTGGTTCACACATAATGCTAAGCCAAAAGCAAACACAATCAATTTATGGCTTGATCTTTTATGCGAATCAGGCCTGTGTAATTTAAGCCACCCTCCATGCAAATAAATTCTTAACTTTCTGCCTGCTTTCCAAATATAAGTAAATTTTTGTCCTATATTTGAGATATAAGAAATCTTGTCAACTCAAAAATAAAGTATAAGGTCTTTGATTAGTTGGTAGTAAAACCTTTTCTACTGCTAGCATAAACTAGTTTATGCAATGGTCCAAGGACATTTGAGGGTTGTGTTCAAATTTTCTTTCAAAAGTTCTTCCAACACAGAGTCGTGTTGGCATAGTTTTAAGATCCACAGCCCAAATATTTCCCATTGCTAGTGTGGGAATTAATATTTATTGTAATCACATTATTTTATTACTGATTGATTTCTTGAAATTTGAGTATTAAGTATGATGGTGTGATCTTTGTGAAATATCAGCCTGGCTTGGGGACAGAAACTGCCTTGGTCATTCTGAGGGATGATCTTTGCCAAGGAAGGCAGAGTGTGTACTACTGTGTTAGTTCTCTTGGCCTTCTCTGGAATGTTTGAAACAACAATTGTATCTGTCTGGATCGGATGTCAGAACTCTCTAAGGAGGATCTCCTTGTACTTACATAGCCATTTTCAGAAAGCAGTGCTAGAAGATTGCTACTCTGCTTCATAGCAATCGTCTTATTGGGTTCCCCTAGGTTCACTTGTATCCCCAGGCTTGTTAACAATGACATGCAATAATAGGGAATTTTTATGGACACAGAGACTAAGATGACAATAGCTTTACTCCTCCTTTTCACCTAATCCAAATGAGGCAGAGGATGTCCTGAATCTGCCTGAGCAGGGTAATAGATTGGATGGGGGCTGGTAAATTGAAGCTCAGTTCAAAGAAGATTGGGGTAGAGTTGATGGGTAGTTTGTCCATCTGTGGGTCATTTTTAGAGGAGATTGTATCTGCCCTGAAATATTAGGTGGCATGCTTTTGTCCATCATTGTCACTAAGTCCAGTGACTTAGTAGAGGATGCACTAGCCGCAGCCCTCCGAGGACAGGGAGGAACTTCGGTCCACCACGCTCCCAATGCATTGCATATCGGACAATGGGCTATTTTTGAAAATAGTTTGGAAACAGTTGGTCCAAAACAGAACTGTTCACTTACTAACTGAAATGAAGTGCTACTCTTGTACTACATCAGTGTTTTGTCTGGCCTACTGGGTCTCAGTTATGGGTGTCTGCAGGAGTGTGTTTGTGTTGAAACATGCATTGTGATGTCATGATGCAAAAACCAAGATGTACGTACTTGGGTCCTTTGTTGGGATGCATGTGCATAGGGGTGCGATTAGTGTGATGTCACTGTGTACCTTTTATCATTTTCGCATCATCCTGGGTTGCTGCAGACACCTATCCTCCCAGTATATTTCCAGCCCCCTGTCAGGCTCTTGGTGCTGACCTTTAATGTCCTGAACAGCTTGGCACTGGAAGGTCTGGCTGAAGGAATATTTCCACCCACCTCTTTTAGAGAATGAAGTTAGGTGGGTGGCTGCAAGAGACAGAGCTTTCTCAATGCGATGCCCCATAGATGCTGGGAGAGTCACCTCACAGCCTCCCACATAAGTAAAAATGTTTATTTTTCCCCCCAGAAATTTTAGAATTGAAATCTCACATTATTTCTAGGAATATATATTTGTACAAGTGCATATATAACACTTCTTTGGAGTATAGCTCTGCCTCTGGTGACTTCCTGGTCCAAGGTTCTTTTTTTTAGCAACAGTAGAGAACAGCCACAGCCTGTTTCTAAGATGCTCTTCAACTTTGTAGTCTGCCCTCTGGCCCTGACATTCCCTGGTAGCGTCCCTCTCAGGTTTTAACCAGGACTGATCCTGCTTAGCTTCTGAGCCCATACAAGGGCAGCTAGAACTGCTAATTGTTGCTATGTTTTATTGTTTTTTATATAACCAGCCTAGATAGTGTTTGTTATTAAATAGATTAAAGATATAACAATATAGCAGTAAGGTAACCATGTGTATTTAGCTGTAATAATGGGATTTGTGCACTAATATGTGAAACCTAAATCTTTCTATTTCTTTAGGAACATAAATATATTTGTCAGATTGGTTGGAAGATTCTGCTTCATTGAAAATTATGGCAAAATCTGGAGGAAAAGGAATTAATCTGAAGGACAAACTGGATGGCAATGAGCTAGATTTAAGTTTGTGTGACCTGAATGAAGTCCCAGTTAAGGAGCTGGTTGGTATCTGTTTTCTTATGTAGGTTCTGCATAACATTATATGGTTTCTGAAAGGAAATGAGTCAATCTTCCACCTTTTTAGAAATTTAAATTTACATTAAATTTACATTTACAGTTAAAATATGATTTGAACTAGTGAGGCCACTATTTAAAGAAAGGTAATTGTGAAACTTTGTATAGATTTCAGTAAAGTGAAACAGCAAAGGCTATCCATTTATTCTCAGTATTAGCAGCGCTAAGAGAAGGAATCACAATCTGATCCCCTGGAATCTCACAACCTGTTTCCACCCTGTGCATCTTTTGTATGTGTGCCCAGTTTCAGACAGCAACCAGTAAGCGAGTCATGATGCTGTCTGGCTGACTGGAGAAAGCAAAATGGCAACAGTGTTTTGAATGTTTCCTTGAAGAAAATGTATGCCGATCGTGTGAAAGTTTCTTCTTGTTAACGTACTGTTGCTTTTTATTTGTAGAAACTTCAAAAAAAGTTTAATTTTCTGGAAGTAGGCTTTATACCTGTCATCTAGTTATGGAACTCCAGATAATACAAACAGAAATCCATAAACTCTGTGGCTTTGCCATCTGGTAAAATTGGGTGATCACTAAAGCTCTGCTCAGGATCATAGGAATGGGTGGGGTGAATTAGGCTTCTCATCCTTTTCTCAGCAATTTATCTTGAAATTCCTGTTTCCCTCAATGGGAATACAGCAGCCTCTAAACAGGTCTCAGGCTGGAGGTGGGTTAACTGGCATGTGTTATCTGCAGATGAGAGCACAGTGAGTGACAGTATTTGTGATCAGGTGGAGCATGTATGAATGAGAGTACACATAAGTATTTCCAGGTACGCGAGCAACATTTGACTTCCAGTGCAGCAAATATTTTGTGGCCCTCATATAGTTGAGTTAAAAAAAAAGCCAAAAAGCCTTGTTTCTAACTCACTGACAAATCTCATACTTAAGTTATGGGATTTAAATGATATGATTTAATTCTAAATTAAGATTTGGTATCAGGCCGTAAGTATAGTATGGTAAATGAGTAGTTTTGAAATGCTGCTGTCTAATGAAAAAGTAAAGCTTGCCCACATTGTAGCAAATAATAGAATTCTGAAGGTTTCTGGAATCAAAATGTAATACTAAGGTTACAATGGTTTATTGACAGATAATAAATGTATACTACAGTATTGATATAGTTTCTAAAAAGTAATATCTGACTGATTCAACTATTCATTTTAATTCTTTGGTTCTTTGTCAGGCAGGACTTCCAAAAGCGACTGTTTTGGATTTGTCCTGTAATAATCTTGCTACTTTACCAGTAAGTTTCAGCCTTATCTCTTTGATAAATTTTTCTGTAATGATGTTACATACAGTCTTATCTTCTATGTTAAAGCAAAGGGGGAGTTATTGTAACAGCTGTAACTGTTATTTTCTGAGGTACGGCCATTGATTATCGGATGCTATAGTCACTGCAAAGGCAGTATTAAACAATAGCAATATATAGATTGAGTTTGTGAGCCATAAACTGTGGTTACAAACCACAATAGCTGGATTCACACAACACACTAAGCAAATCAAACATGCTACACTGTGCCTTAAAAATGTGCAAACCCAGTTATCAAGAAAGTTGGAAGGAAGTATAGCTAACCTAACATAGTGTCAGCAGATGTTGGTGTGAGGGTGACATTAGGCAGTACCAAACATGCTCTTCATGTAGATTTGCAACTGAGATCCTATGATCTTAGGATAATGGTGATTAGTGAAAAGTTTCATAAGACTATTTTTCTTAGAGCATTTTTGGTGCATTATGTCTTTTCCTAGTGGGAAAATATATGTGTCCCAGTTATGATCTAAGAAAAAAGGATAAGAAAGATTGTGTTCCCATTTTACAAATAGCTAGGGAGAGAAACTGGCCTTTAAAGTCTTTGAACCCCCGGCCTTATGTATCACTTCTCAGTTTTCTAACAGGTCAGTCCTCTGTATCTTTGCTCAGAAATAAATCTCACTAAATTTAATTAGGCTTGTTCCTAGAGAGTGCAGAGTTTCATGTTGTACTTATATTTGGATTCCAGTTGGAGTTCTGCAGTTTGACCCATCTAGTAAAATTGGATTTAAGCAAAAATCGGCTTCAGCATCTACCCTCAGACTTTGGGCGCTTGATCAACTTGCAACACTTGGATCTGCTGAACAATCAATTGGTTACTTTGCCTGTCAGTTTTGCACAACTCAAGGTAATTCTGTTCTTTTCCAACTCTCGGATTGTGTTTAGCCTGGGATATATTTGAGATTTGTCTATCATTGTCCAGAAATATGGGTACCTTTAGTGTATCTGTTCTTATTGTCCTTTGCTCTAAAACACTGGGGGCAGCAGTATTAGAATGCTTCCAAACAGTACAGTAAAACAAAATCCTGATAATGATCTGGGTCTAATTTTGCACACATTTCGTTTTTAGAACCTGAAATGGCTCGATCTGAAAGACAACCCCTTGGATCCTGCCCTAGCTAAGATAGCTGGAGATTGCTTGGATGAAAAACAGTGTAAACTGGCAGCTGTCAGAGTAAGTTAATTCACTTTTTATTCTGATGCGATATTCTTCCTTCACTGTTAGGTCAGTTTCTTAGTATTCTAGGTCATTTTCTTACTTGTTTCTTTAATCTATTCTACCGTATAGCGCAACAAATGTCACAATTAAAAAATAAACTGTAAAACCTTTAAAAAAAAGTTTACTACAGATAGTCCTTAACTTACGATGGCAGTTGGGACTGGAATTTCCATCACTAAGTGATGTGGTCATAAAGCGTGACCACATTGCTTAGTGACGGCAATCCTTGCAGTCCTGGCTGCTGTCGTTAACCAAATTCCATGGTTGTTAGGTGAGGCATCTTTCTGCCAGCTTCTCACAACTAAAGTCAGTGGGGAAGCCGGTAGGAAGCTGCAAGTCCCAGGCCAGCAGGCAGGTAAGTGGCTACTGCCAAGTGGGGGAGGGAGCAAGTGGGTGTGCGGGGGTGCAGGGGAGGGTCGGGAGGATGCAAGGGGATGTGCGAGTGGCACAGAGTAGGTCAGGGAGGGTGCATGCATGTGCAAGGGGGTGCATGAGAGGCACGGGTCAGGGAGGCTGCACAAGGGTGTGGCACAGATCAGGAAGGGTGTGAGGGGTTGCGCAAGGATGTGGGGATGTGAGAGGCACAGCATGAGTCAGGGAGGGTGCGAGGAGATGTGCGTGAGGCATGGCATGGGTCGAAGAGGGTGCACAAGGGGGCGCGAAAGGGGAAGGGGTATGCGAGAGGCGTGGGCGAGGGAGGGTGTGCATGAGATGGGGAAGGCGTGATGGGGTGCGAAAAGCCAAAAGTAACCATGGAAGCGAAAGTAACCGTGGAGTCTAGCTGTGATGGGGCTTACTCCCCTTCCTCCATGAAAAGGGACAGCAGATTATAGAATTTGGCACTTGTAGGTGCAAAGGCACAGGCTAGTTGAGAAACTGAATGGCTCCAACCACAGCACTTCCTAGTGCATTTCCCTCCATATCAAGAGTTGGCAGACGAGTGGAGATCCAACATTTCTTTTCTTTTTTTGTAATAATTTTATTAAAAATTACATTATATAGATAAAACTAATACAAACTATAAAAGAAAAAAAAAGAAAAAAAAGATTAAAAGTGCAGAAAAAGGGGGGGGGGAAGAAAAAAAGTAACTTCCCCCTCCATCCCAGCAAGTATAAACAATTTTAACAACTTATCACCATCTCTTGAAATACAACAAACAATTTCTTCACCCCATAACTCACCTCATTCTCATAAACCCACTTTATATTCCTTCCTCTTACTCCCAAAAATCTTGGTCTTAGGTGCCTTCAAATAACATCCCAGCACATGGTTTCTTTTCATTTTCTTTTTGTCTCTTCTCACAAGGTCGCTGGCAACATTGACAAGACCCTTTTGTAGATCCAATATAAAAAGACTATCCAGGTCACTGTTCAGGTCTATTATTTGTATGTCCTTTTTAGCTATTAAAATATTAGCTGGTTTCGTTTGTAAATTCAGTGTTTCATATTCTTCCATAGCCTTCTTATAGTCTGTCATTTCTAAGTCCAGATTTGAATCATTTTTCTTCTTTTCCAGTAAAACCTGTTCCTCTTCCGTAGCAACATCTAATCTATCAATAATGAAAGAAATCCTTAAAAGTAGCTTCTGAGTCATTTGTTCACACACCTCTCTCAATACATCCATTGCTTAATTTGCTTCTGGTGCCTTCTAGGGTCCAACCTTCAAAGTCCCATCTTATCATTTGTTTTTCTTCTGAATGCAAAAAACGGCCAGTTTCCCATGGAAAGGATTCTTTAATTTAAATCCATTCATATTAAATAGTTCTGGACCCTTAGTCCATTTGTAACTTTCTAAAAACAATACTCAGATCATCCTTTTGCTGTTAATTCCAAAAAAACCAATTTTTAAAATAAATCCTTAAACTTGTACTTAAAACTTCTTTCATAAAGGACTGAAGAAAACTCACCCAGTGAATACCATAAAACTTGCCATTCTGGAGGTTCTCAATATTTAAAAAACAATAAAAAAATTAATCCAAAGTATTAAGAAATGAGGATTGTCTAAACTTTGAGTCTAAAAAGGTTGCATTACAACTATGAGCTTAGATGGAATCCCTCAACTCCCAGCTGCTCCACTCACCAGCTGACTGCAAAAACATTGGTTCCTGTGGTTTACTTGTGAGGAATAGCTGTCTGGAGTGTGTGTGGGCAATCTCAAGATCTCTCCTTTCTCCGGAGAGATTTCCCCAGCCCAGATCCTGCATCTGGCCACAAATTTCAGCTGTAACATTCCCATTTTCCAGGGACATCTTCAGTTCACCATCCCCTCACCAGAAGTCTGAGATCTTACATTCCAATGCAGTGTCTCATCCAATACCAGCTAGTGGGTGATACTAGAGGCTCTACTTTGCCTCAGTTATGGAGAGCCTCTGGCAGTCTTCCTTGCCCCTCTCCCCTTCACATATGACAAGTATTGAGAGTAGAAGCACCAGACTGAAGATGTCTAAGCAGCATGTGGGCAAACCCAATTATACATGAGACATGAATGGATGGCTCAGGACCAGGTAGAAGGGCAGCTTCCCTGTAGAGCCAATCCTTTCTCCCAGTGGGACCATCTAAAGTCTCCTAACCAACAGGTGAAGCAACATCACACTTGGAGTTCTTCTCAGTGCTTAATCAGCTGCTGGACTGGTCCAAAGAAGCCAGAGCACTTTTGTGCCTGCTAAATCTGCCTGCCATTACTGCTTTTCCTTCTCATCCAAGGAGTCTAGGGTTGGTTTGTGGTTGAGAGGATGGAAGAGTCACAGAAGCCCCCACAAGAAAGGAAGGAGCGAGAGGCAGAGAGGCAGATAGTGGAAAAAAGAGCAAGAGTTGTGGGAGCTCCTGCCCAGGATTGAATGCCTTAAATGGAGAAGAGGGCCCATTACAGGCACAGTGGGCCGCCTCAAGGGCTAGACAGTTTAGTGAGTGGTCAGAAGTTTCCCTCTCAGAAGCATCAGGTAGAAGTGAAGGACAGCTGTCGGAGGAGGAGGAGGAGGATGGTGAGACAGCCCCAACATGGAAATTCCAGAGACTGTTCAGCTCGGACTCTTACAACATAATAGTCAAAAAGTTGGCAAAACCCTAGATCTTGACTTAAGAATGGAAAGCTCCCCATCAGTAGCACCAAAAATATCAGAGGGGCACCAGCTGCTTTTGAGCCTTTTGGCCATAAATACAACTGAAGATACTAAGATACATACACAAATCAGCAGTATTTGCAATCAGGACAGATTCTGTGATAATCAGTAGCTTCTAGAGGTGTGATGTTTTGGGCTCAGGAAATTTTCAAGCTATTGAAAAGAAACTCTTAAGAGACGGTACAGCCAGAATCCATAGAACAGCATAACTGATGGCAGACACGGCTCTAGACACCCTACAATGTATGGCTAGAGATAGCACTGTGACACAGCTTATAACTCAATTATTGGCAGGTGGATCACTATTAGAGAGCAAGCATCCTTTGGGGAATCAATTGAGCCTGTCCTAGTTGAGAACCAGAATAAGAGGATGTCCTGCCATCAGCATCTGGAAGGGAGAACAGCAGGTATAGGAAAAGAGCACTATCTCCTTTTCCCCCAGGGACTATACTTCTGGTTCCTTCCACACAGGACCCAAGCAAAAGGGCAACAATTGGCATACTCAGGACAGACTTTGAGGCAGAGGAGATAAATTTCATAAGAAATGTTCCTCAAATTGACTCCACCACCTCCTAGGTAGATGAGCATCTGCCATCCTTCTGGCATACCTGGGAGAGTACTTGCAAAGACACACAGGTCCTGAAGACAGCCCAACTGCACTGAAATTCAGAAACAGGTTCTTGCCTTCCCCAGTTGCAAAGATTGGGGAAAAACAACAAAGGATGAGGAGCTACATACCATCTGAGGGAAACCAGCTTGGCAACCTGGGAAAGGAATTCCAGCATGTTCTCCATTTTGTTTAGGTGCCAGAGGAGGTCGTAGAGAGTGATCCCGAGCCTCAAGATGCTAAACTGATGGATTAGATGGCAGACTTTTAGGATGGAGAGCCTGAGATCCAAAGCTGAGGCTATCATTCCAGGCAGTTAGCCAGCCTCTATAAACTAAGAAGTCTACCAGCATATTCCCATTAAGCAGGTTCACTGGAGATTCCTCATATTTGCATAGGGGAAGGAGCAATACCAATTCAGAGCTCTCTCCCCTTCAGTTTGTATTGGCATCCAGGGTATTGATCAAGGTGATGGTGTTGACAGGACACTTGAGGATTCAGTGAGTCCATATTTACAACTATCTGGGCAACCTGCTCATCAGGGTGCCCTTGAAGGAGAGGGCAGTGACAACTCCAGTGCCTCAGAGATCAAGGCTTAGTGGGGAACACACAGGAGAGCTCCCTCACTCCCTCTGCACAGATAACGCACCTGGCAGTAGTGATAGGAAGAATTTTCTCTTTTCTATGTCTGTCTCGAGAGTAGTCATTCCAGCTGCAGAGAACATTAAGAAGGGTGCTAGACTTCAGGAAACAGACCCTCATGGCATTGACAAAGTTACAGGGAATGGTGATAGCAGCCATGGATGCAGTGCTATGGACATATTTTCATTCAAGATCTCTTCAGTAGTTCCTGCTACCATTCCAGGCTCAGATTGCTTCCAGGTCCTGGATAAGTCTGACAGTTGCACACACAGTAGCTTGATCCCTGCAGTGGTTGTTGGAGTTGACAGCCTGGCCAGAGGGATACCACTTAAAAAATCAAATGAGGAACAGTTGATTACAGTTGCTAGTCAGACAGGTTGAGGAGGCATCTTCCAGTCCATCTCATTCCAAGGCCATTGGTCCTGGCCTGAGGTATTGTCACCAGAAAGTGGCATTTCCCAATCCACTCATGCTGAGCCAGGGTTCAGTTTTCACTCTGACCCAGAGTGACTACAACTCTGTGCCTGGAAATTGAGCAGGGACGTCATCTGACAACCATCCTCCCAGACTCAGCATTATCTTGGTAGCTAGACTCTTAGCCATCAGGAAGATACACCCAACAAGTATTAGAATATTGGTGTAGGAGAAGAAACATTATGACAGTGGCAGCAGGAGAACCAGATGGGTTCCTACAAAGTAGTCAGGACAAGAGGCTGGTGGCAAATGCCCTGCGTTTCAGCCAGCCACTGCATTCATAGAATGATAGGATTGGAAGGGACCTTGGATCAGATCAGTCCTTCTGGATAGGGAATCTCTCTCAGGATACACTTATATACACTGATTTTTCAGGTTTGTGACCAACTTAATCTGTTTCACAGCAAAGATGTTTGCCATAGCATATACTTGAATTAATATTCTAGACGTTATCTAATACAGTGGGAAGTTTTACAGACACATTATAGTAATCAATGTGACATGCTGTGGTTTTGATTCCTATGTTTAAATGCTTTGGACGTGGGAGATACATGTTCATTGGCATGAAGTCCCTAATACTTAATCATGCCACCTGCCTTTTATTTTCCCCGATATTCTTGTGTGAACGGTTGCTGAAAGGTTGTCTACAAGAGTAACTTGTTACTAAATACTCAGGGATCAATTGATTTTTTTTCACATTTCAGTTGGAATTGAATTCTTACTAAGGTTCAGGGCTTTGTTCCTGTTCCCTTTCTATTTGTAATATGTGACTTTGTTCGCTTGCTTCATTCATCGGGAATTATTTGCTCTGTAGGCATTATTCCATGCTTTTATTCTTTATTTGTGGTACGTTGTACTCTGGACTGCATAAGTAGCTCTGTGTGTGGGAGTGCCCACTAATGGATTATGCCTTTGGGTGGGGAAAAAGAGGGGCTGGATTAAATGGCATTTGGCCTCTCAACTCTTGAAATTGGTCAGAGAAGCAGATCACTTTTAAGACTGGCCAAATGAACTTCCTTTTTGTAAACGTCTTTCTTTAGATCATCTTCTATGCGTGTAAAGCAAAGGATGTTATCTTTTCTTCCTAGTTCTGTAAACGTAAAACCTAATTTATATGTGTCTCAAAGGTATTGCAGCATATGAGAGTGATCCAGTCTGAATTAGATCGTGAGAGGCAACGGAAGTTACAGGCAGAACAAGGTAAATTTAGTGATGCTGTTTCGTTTTGTGATGTGGGCTTTTCACAATTCTTTTGGGAATGGCACAACTCGTTTACACAGGATAGGGTTTTAACCCCTGAGTGTGGCTTATTACCAGTGAAGCAAACATTTTCTCATAAAACTGAGTTAACCCCAGGCTTATACTTATTCTTCTTTGGTATAGCTTGCAAAATAAATGTATTGCTTTTAGTCTGGGACCTTTTAAGTTTTCTTAGATCTATATTGAATATTTTTTGTGTTATCTATAGATCCTTATTTCCTGTTAATTCCAACTTCTGCTATGTTCTTGTTGTCTAGTATGCTTAGGTCTGTGCTCCATATTAGGACTATCCTCCTCACATCCCTCAACAAATTCACTTTTTAACTTGCTTGCAAATGCTGTGGGGTTTTTTTTCCCCTTTCCGTGCCGGATGGGAGGGGAGGGACAGCTTTCCCAAAGTGAAGGAGGTCACAGGCATTTTTTCTTCTGCACCACATTTTCTCCTTCTACAAGCTAATTAATATATGCAGTTGAAAAAGAGTTATTCAAGATACATCAACTGTATTTGAGAAGTGGAGATTTTCTGCATCGGTGTACGCAGTGGAGATTGTTCCAGTGCTGATGTCCTGTTTGAGAGAGTAGTTCCCTTCCCTTCCCATGCTTCACAATTTTATCAAATGTTCATGGGTGGCCAGGGGGTGTTGTAATTCACCATGTGATAATTCATTTCAAAAACAGTATCAGAGATCGGTTTTTTGGCACAATGAGGTAACTGAAGCAGATACGTCTACAGAATGGGATACACGTTTTTCCCTTCGTGATGCGGTAATGCTTTTCCAGTTGTCTGTATTGCAGGTTGAATCTAGTACATTATTATCTAATCTGTAGAAGCGAGGAGAACGTGGACTGGGAGGTCAGGTTACATTACCTTCAAGGTCATGCTGCCTTTTTATTTGAACTAATTGATAGAAAAATAGAGTATACATGATAGGCAGTAAGTATTTAAACCCAGTTTGGCTGCTGTTACATATAAAAGATTAGATTCAGTTGCTAACTAACACACACACACACACAAAGTGGAGGTTGTTGGGACAGTCTGCTTTGCAGAGAAGAAAGGGCAGTTGCAGCCTCCAAGACACAATACTTTTTTTCCAAGCTGAACTCCCCTGTAGTGTCTGAGTTTGGCTGAAAAATATCTGAATGAATGACTGTGGCAAGATGTTAGCATCTCTCAGTTGTAAATCCCTTTTGACCCAAATGTTTTGTGTGACTGGGAAAAATCTCAATCTGCCATGAACAGGACATTTTTAAAATCATGCATAGTCTGAGCTTTATTGGCAGCATATTTTTCTTCTCCTTGTGCCAACTTCCATCTCTCTCTCTCTGGCCAACACTAAGCTGCTGACTGTTTCACCTACTGTAGTATGGGCCGAGGGCACTTTCGCTGGCATCATTCAGGTCATTCTCATATCTAAGAATGCAGCCTGTTATCAAGTTTTTGAAGAAAATTAATTTTCTTACACAATTCCTCACTTTCTGCCACTTCTTTAGTAGGTAATTATTAGTCACAAGAGAGATTAACGTTCTTAAGCAATTCTCAAACAATTCAAGCTGAGATTAAAACAGCCACTTAAAATAACCTGTTCCAAAGTATAATTTGCTACATTGTTTCTTTTCTTTTCAAAAAAGAACTATTTCTGGTTATGAATGCTATTTTTACAGGCTTTTCTGCCTAATTAGCAGCCTCTTACCTCTTAATTTTCGGAGAGGAGGGGGGAGATGCACTTGAATCTCCTCCTGATAGGCTGGGTAGTCCTGCCTCCCCCATTATTACTAAGTGGTTCCTAAACAAGGGGCTTACATGTGTACAGAGATGGAACTCCTTGTCATGATGAACGTTCCAAGTTGTTCCAGAATGTCTTTTTGCAGGTAGGAGCTCTGTGCCCATCTACCAATACACATGAAAGACTATGTCATATGGTTCGTGCTACTGCCTTACATGTTCTTTCAGTGCTGGAAATTTGAGGGATTCTCTTCCCCTCGTGTGTGTCCACAGCATACTTATCAACTTTCCAGTTACCATTCTGAATAATCAAACTTCTGTTTTTCCATCCAAGTACCAAAAGACTACTATCAAGCAAGTTCTGAGATATGTCCAAAACAAGTTTGGTTCAGGGGGACTAAATGCTTATGTTACTAGTTATGTCTATTAATCTTTCCACCTTTTGTTGATTAATAAGGAGAGCTGAGGGTTTAGAGATGGTTTTATAGAAAATGGGGTGAAGTATGGAATGAAGATGTATTTCGTAGTATCTTAAGAGACAGTGCTAAGTTGTTAATGTTGTATATCCTTGCTGGGGATGAAGGGGGAAGTTTTTTCTTCTTACTACTTTTTTGGTGGAGGGATTTTTTTCTTTTTCTTTGCACTGTCTTATGTTTTTTTTAATCTATTTTTATATTTGATTTTTGTATTAGTTTTAGCTGTTTTATATAATCTTCAATAAACATTATTTAAAAAAACAAAACAACACTGGTTCATAATCGAAGTCAATTATATGGTCATACATAAACTTTTTTAAAAATATAAACAGTTCACAATTCATTTTCTTAGTATTACCCCAGTGCTAAATGGGGATAAAAGTGTAAGCAAAGGTATTGTTCTACTTCTGGTCATGCTAATATTTGGGCAAGAATGGTAAGCTTTTAAGGAGTCAGGGGTCACAGCTCAGCCTTTGGAGACATCACTGGGAGAGGTGAGGCTGAAATCATCTCACCCTTTCTTTGGGATTTTGGAAGAAGATTAAAGGTAACAGTGGGAGCAGGAGGCTTCTGCTTGGCAAACTGCTACCACTTCTATCTCTACCAGGCCAAAATTATACCACAAAATCCAGCCATTTTGCTGCTGAATTTCAGTGGCATGATTTGTGGGGGCTTGAAAGCTGTAAATAGGAGCCTGGGTGCAGCACATCCTCGGGTAAGAGGAGCAATTACACAAGGAGCAGCTAGCCAAATAACACCTTAGTGCCTTGTGGAAGGATGAAGACCACTTCACTGAGTAGTAACATTTTTGCTCTAGAAGACTAACACCACCATTCCAGCATGTCTAAAAATGCTTCTACTGTTTATTATTGATAATATGTTTATATATTACAAAATAGCTATGTATTGAAGAGTTTGCTTTGTTGGCTGTGACTAGTGAAGAGAAGCCATAGCTGATACTCGATATTCTCATACCTCCTGTGCTACAGTATACTTTGTTGTGCTGGATGCAAATACAGGAGAACCTGTTTGGTAAATGCAACTTATTTGGGATAAATTCGCAACAACTGTTTCTCTTGATTGGATAGAGCAGTGTGACAGCAGAGTTTTCTAAAGAAAATATTTTGTGTTTATGCTGATGTGCAGAGCTGGAGAAGAAGCGTGAAGCACAGCGGCTAGCAAGAGAGGCTCAAGAGAGGGAACTGCGTAAGCGGGAGAAGGCCGAAGAGAAAGAACGTCGGAGAAGAGAATATGATGCCCTTAGAACTGCAAAGCAGAAAGTGACAACGCAACAAAGAAGAGAAGCGGGTGAAAATCAAAGTAAGAAAATAACGTGCTTGTGTAAAGAAAGATAAGAACTACATTCTCTGCCATTTTCTTTTCCCTGAAATAGGGAAGAAAAAAATTGCTACCGCCAAGCTTAAGAAATACGCTGTTGCAGAAAGACTTTAGCAAGGACAGAGCGCATACATGTCTTTGTTTATTATTCTACAGTCAGCTAGAAACCCAGTGGGGAAAAAAGCCCAACAATTGCAAAAAATGAAACAGACAGCATTCCACATGTTTACTGAGATGTTTTATTTGTCCCTTCTCTCTCTGATGCCAACTCTCAGGACTGAGAGGTAGATTCTGCATATATAACTTAGCCATAATAGTAGCCAATTTTTTTTGAAATCAACAATGCTAATGTTAACTGTTAGGAAAAACACCCATTAATCGGATATCAAAGCACTCATTATCTGGGCAGCAGTACTCTTAAAGTAACTTTTAAAGGCCTTGGCTGGAGATGAAGGCTCCTTGAATTATTTGGGCTGAGTTTAACAAGCCAAATATGTTTGCCTTGATAGCATTACTTAAACATGAAGAATGCAACTTATTAACTTGCTGTGGTTTGTATTACTTAAATAGCAGAGGTGATTTCACACTGGATGTGCCTGTGGTGGAGTCTCTGAATTTATGGAGTTATCTGAGGCAAGATTAATCTTGCTGCTCAGCACGGAATTACTTACTATTATTATTATTTTGGTGATCAGTTTAATATCTCATTCTCATTTTTCTACAGAACCTTCTGTTTCCCATCCGTCGCGTCCACTGCAAAAGAAACGCTCCTGGTCTAGAGTCCTTCTGAAGATGTTTCTGCTTCTCCTGCTAGGTGCCCTGGGCACTCTGGCCGTTTGCAAGGTTACAGAGCTACAGCACCAGCCAGTGTGCATTGGTGTGAACATGCTATATGAAGATGCATTAACCTTTTTACCAAGTCGTGAAATCTTTCAGAATATACTGCAGCCAAACTCACAGCAATAATTTTGTTTCAGCTCTGAAGGACTCTTGCCTCCTGCTCTTTTTTTTTTTTTTTTTTTGCATCAACATTGCCAGAATTCCTATGGAATTGAGCTCTGGTGAAAATCACTTTCAGTTCTTTAGCAGTGGTGACTTCAAACAGAGCAGAAACACGGCCCAGATCATCTTTACTGTATCTACCTGCAGTTCTTTTGATAAACAACATGTCCTTCCTCCAGAGTGGAGCCTTTTTTAGGCTGCAAATCATAGGCACCTGGTCTGTAGAAAAGAGTGCCTATCCTTAACAGCACCCTTACCATGACCAGTGAAGTTAGCTCGTCATTCTAAAAAGCTTCTCCACGCACAGCCTTTGCATATTACGGTTCCAGCAAATATGATCATTCTGGAAATCGTTATACTAGGTGGTTCCAGCAAATATGATCATTCTGGAAATCATTTTACTAGGTGGCTAAATCATCCAGACAGTCAAGAGCAAAGTTTGATTGTTACATAAAGTCTCCTTCAAATCAGGTTTGACTCCTGGTGACTTCATGAACAATATGAACATGGTTTGCCAGTGCCTTCTTCCAGGATGTTTTTCAACTTCCTGGTATAGCCTACAGCCTTAATATTCCCTAGAGCAGCGTTTCTCAACCTCGGCAACTTTAAGATGTGTGGACTTCTGCTCCCAGAATTCCCCAGCCAGCATGCTGGGAGCTGAAGTCCAGACATCTTAAAATTGCCGAGGTTGAGAAACGCTGTCATAGAGGAGTCCCATCCAAGTATAGAGAAGACTAACTTGCCTGGTCCCCACTTAGTTCCTGTTACATGCAAGCATAGGGAATATTTCTCTGTTGCTTGATCTGTGATTTGTACATCAAGATGTGATGTTTCACAGCCAAAACCTTAAACGTTACAGCATTTAATCTAAACTACACTGGTGGGAAAATGAGGGTGTGTGTAACTCTCTGTAGATAGGTGCTTCTCAACCTCAGCAACTTTTAAGATGTGTGGACTTGCTGGCTGGGGGATTCTGGGAGTTAAATTCCACACATCTTAAAGTTGCTAGGTTGAGAAACACTGCTCTAGATAGAAACATACATACTTCCACATCTGCCCGAATGTTATCTTTCGGTAGTAGTCTACATTCTCTAATTTTGTTGAAGACCATTCAAGGAACACATTGACAAGGTTCTATCAATGGTATACCCAAAAGTTAGATGTTAACAGACCATGGATTAGACACATGTCAGTAAACTATTGAATAAATTACATTTGACCATTACCACAACATGGTAAGTAAGAACTATATTACGGTTCAGTGTTGAGTGTGAACTTAGCAAAAGCTTGTCTGCTGTTCTTACAACAATGTTCCTTTTGCTACCTGAAGTTCAGCTATTTTGCATCTGCATTTCCCTCTAAAGCAGTCCATCTAGAATAAAACGTAAAGTCATTGAAGCTTCTAAATGTGTATTGATAAGATTGAAATGATGGAAATTTAAGAGCATGAATGGGGACAGAAATTCTCTAATATCTGTAATGAGAACCATAGCATTGAAGTGGTACCTGTGTCACTTATCTCTTCAGAAACTATGCCCCCAAACATTTCTGTAATTTCCATTTATACAGACTTCTACACAGTAAAAGTTCCTGCACTGAGAAACAGTTTAACATCCGTTTCAGAAGTAATCATGGGTGCAAGGGAAGAATGCAGAGTTTGATAACTTGGTTCAAAGTAAGGAAAGAGCATGTAAAGTAGATATGCCAAAATTTGCTGTATGAGGCACTCCAGAATCACTCAGCAGAGCTGCAGTTCAAGAGCTTTTGTCTGACAAATGCTGTTTGTTAAATGCTTTATATGCTATAATTATTGTGTTCTGAAGTATGTACACATCTATTTTCAAATATACTTTCTAGAAAAAACAGTAGATAGTGATAAAGGAGTTACAGGTTATGGAATGAAATATTTGGCTTTATTGGAACCCATCCTGCTCATAGGTTTCAGGTCATTTCTACCTTTTAAAAGAGCTCTCTAAAATCTATATTACGTTACAGGAAGAAAAAAAATTCAGTTCTTAATTTCTGGTTGGTTCAAATGGTTTTATGAAGATTTCTGCAGGATAAAGGAAGTCAGAATCTGGACTGAGATCCAAGCAGTATCTTCAGAAAAGCTTAATTTAGGGGTAGTAATTATGTTTTTAAAAGTTGCTTGAGCAGAGTTTTACAGAATCCACACTTTCAGCTCACCCAGTAACATCCAGGGAAAGGTCGGGGTTATGGGAAGTCATCTGCAAATAAATCCGTTTGGACAGGTCTGGACCAACTCGCCTTGTTGTTGTTGTCACTCCATCACCACGACGAACAGGCACCTCTGCAAGAAGGTTGTGTCGCTCCTGCTCTGAAGCGTGAATATCATAAGCCTAGACGTAGCCCAGAATACAAAACATTATTTCTACAAGCATTTGCACACGCTCTTCTATTGGATGGTTCACAATTGTTCTGAAATCTATGATATATGTCTCAGATTGGGCAGAAGATGGCAGAGGAAAGTAGTGTGAGGTTCCATTCCTAGCTCAGAAGCAGCTATTTTTCCAGCTTCAGTCATTCCATGGAAACTGGTGACACATAGTCTAGAATTACATATGCATAGCTGAGGAACTATAATGGGACCAACAAATCAGGCCATGTTTCTAGGACAATACTGTGTCTACTTCTTTAGGGAATAAGGCCCTCTTGAAATACAATTAAATGTAACCTCTGAGTAATTATAGTTCTCATCTATGGTTCTGAAGTACAGGAACTTCAGCCAGCAGCATATATGAAAAATAACAAGCAAACAATTTACTTCCAAGATCTAGGTTTCCTATGTGAAATAGTTTTATTTTCTCCTGCACCATCTGAGAATTTCAGCGCGAGATTTTAGATTTTTGTGCTAATTGGGTATAAATTGGCATGCACACACCTAACACAATATAATATTGTAGAAACAGAAAGCCTTGCCTGCGTCAGCAGCAGAGGAGAAGGGTACCGGGCTACAATGGCACTGGCCATCTCCAGACTGACTCGGTTGAATTGCTGAATTTGTCTTTTCCACACCTGAAGCAGCCCCTTTCCAGTGCGGTCCACCTTCATACCTCTACACCAGTCTCCCTCAAGGCAGAAGGAGAAGCTGGTTTTATTTCTTTCCTTTCTGCAAAAGTGGCAAAAAAGGAACATGGCAAAATACTGAAATGTACAAAATACTGTGTCCCCAATGCTTCTGCTGCTCTGCATGAAAATCAAGCTAGAAGAGGGGATTTTCACACAATATAATACTGTATTGCAACATTTGAAATGGGGCATTATATTTGACAGAATGATACTTCAAGTAATCGGATTGTTTCAGAAGTTAAGCACAAGATAGATTTCCAATATGGGTTAACTCATCTCTTTCCTAAAACAGTTGGCAACACATGCTTCATCAGTTTGCATATATCTTAAGGTTAATTGCAGTTCCTGTGCATATATGCCATATTTTGATGCACACCGCATTTTTTTTTAAACTATCTTAAGACACCATCTACCCATAGCAGGCAGTGACGCCAAGACTTTCCTTGTGAAATGGACAAAGATGGTTGAAGTTTAGGCAGAAAATTAGAGATGAAATAAAATGGGAATGAACTGTAGATTGTTGCAGGAGTACCAGGAATTCACAAAATTTCATTTATTTATTTAATGGATTTATAGGGTGCCCAGCTCAAACAATGTGACTCTGGGCAGTGTACAACAAAAAGTAATTAAAAAAAAAATAACCACACAATATTAAAAAAGCAACCCAAGATATAAAACAGAAACCGAGCATGATAATTAAACAACCAAAAGGTGACTCCACTCAACTGGTCCCAATGGCTGGGGAAAAAGGCAGTTCTTAACGGCTTTTCTAAAGGTAACCAGACTTGGGGCCTGTTGTATATCACATTATTTCAAAGCACAGGGGGCAGCCACTGAAAAGTCATGCTTCCTAGGTCCCATGAGATGGCAAAATTTTAAAAAAGGTACCTGGAGCATGCCCCCCCCCACATGGGAGAATGTGGGGCAGGCAGGTGTTTCTGGGAGAAGGTGGTCCTGCAAATAACCTGGTCCTATGCCATGTAGGGCTTTAAAACTGATAACCAGCACTCTGAATTGCACTTGAAAACCTCTTGGGAGCCATGGCAGCTTGTGGAGTAGCAGTATCACGTAGGCATAACAAACTGCGCCCATCACTCCCTGTGCCACTGCATTCTGGAACAAGTGAAGTTTCCAAATGGTCTTCAAGGGCAGCCCCACGTAGAGCACGCTGCAATAGTCCAGTCAGGAAGTGACTAAGGTGTGAGTGACCATGGGCAAATCCTCCCGGTCCAGGAACAGAAGCAACCGGTGCACAAGATGCAGCTGTGCAAAGGCCTCCCTGGCCACAGCTGCCACCTGCTTTTCAAGCCAGAGGTGTGAGTCCAAGAGGACCCCAGTTTGCGTACCAATTTAGGAATGTTCACTGGGTCCTATTTAAGAGTTTGAATTTTAGATTCCATTGAAAGGCATGGATTGGCCTTTAGAGAATTTTATGACAGCATATGCAACCACATCTCTCAAAGTGAAGCTGCTGAGATGTAGCCCTAGATACACATACTATTTGTTAACTCACTCACTTGAATGGGGCTTCAGCCACAGCCTTAGTGAACATACTGGCAAGTTCTCCCAACTCCTTCCAGCTTGCAAGCATTTGAACCTGGACACCTGCGTGAAGCTGCAGATCTACCAGAGCCTGAAAAAGCAAAGAAGAATACTGACTGAAAAGGCTTATCCTAGAAAAGAAGAGACACCAAACACAAGGTACTACTTCATAATGAGCGATACTGTTTCCTTCAGCCTGATCACTCTTCCAGCAGTTCTGATCCAAAAACACTTCCCTGTGCCCGCAGTGGCTCAGAACATAGTTATCTTTTTTTGGGCCTGCATATGCTGCTGTCCTTTTGATTATGGATCTGTAAGGCAATTCAGCGCCTTCCAACTGTGTTGGGACAATTCCCTAAATTCCAAGCCAGCATGGCCACTAGGGAGAGCGCCAGATCAGAATGAACAATTCTCTGATTAGGATGAATGGGGATGAAATTATCCCGGAATCTGGAAATTTCTGTTTAAGCATCCTTCTTTTATCATTTAAGCATGGCATTTCAGTGTTAAACCACAGCAGACTGTGAAGCACATTTAATTAGTATTTGGCCAGGATCGGTTGCTTTCAATTTCTCTAACTGTCTGAATGTCATTGTCCCGGGCATGTCTACCTCCTTTTCCCCCCACACTTGGCTTTCACTCCATAACTACTCTCCTTCACTCATCCTGTCTTCCTTGCTGACCCCATCCCCGCTTGAGTTCTGTCTCTTCCTTCAGTCTCTACATTTGAAGCCCCACCTTCTTCAGTTCAATATTTGTATGTCATTGCAGAGGGGAGACATTTCGGTGTTCCCTGTTAGCCCCCCTTGGAGATTGAAGCCCCTTCTGGCAGCAGAAAGAGATCACTTTCAGAAGAAGAGATCCCAAGGAAGAATTTGAGACATGGCTGAGATAGCCAGCCACACAACCCTCTGCTCCAGGTTTACTCACTTCTTCCACATCCAGTCTGGATAACTGGGGTACTGGAATTGCCTTTTCTCTCCGGTTCCTTGGCTTGGCTTGCTCCTGCACCTTGCTACTTTGCTCTGCTTGCTGCAGCTTCTTCTGCGCCTTGTGATTGTGAGAACTAAGGACACAACCAGTTCATTAATGCCTTGAATCTTGGGTCCATTCCTACCATCTCAGGTTCTGAGACTGCAGCCCTGCTCGTGGATGGGCAATGTCTGGGATACCTGAACCCTGGCCTTTTGGGTTGTGGTACCCTGCTCTGGAGCTGCTTCCTAGTAGAAGTATATTCCCAATATTTTAACTTCAGCTGCTGTTGAAGCTGCATCTTTTTATCTGGGCCCCTTCTGAGGTGTTACCCATAGTATCCCCCTGGCCAATCCAATCTGGCAGGGTTGGTGCACTCCGGGTTCCTTTGTTTAAAGTCATCTATCGTGACCCTGGGAGTGCACCTTCTCTGTAGCAGCTCCTGCCCTCCAGAATGAGGTTCCCCTGAGATTTGAATGGCTCCCCCCACAGGTGTTTCGAAGGGCCTTGAAGACCTGACTCTTTGCCCAGGCCTCTGGCGAGGGTGACTTTTCTTCTTTCTCTATGTTCCTATCCAGTTTTGTCATTATTGCCATCCTTTTTTGTTTTCTGTTGTTTCCTTGTTTTTAAATGTTTTTAACAATTTGTATACTGTGGAGGCCTTGGTGCTGAGCTTGGTTGTTTGCTTGTAGACATTTTGCTACCCAACTAGGTAACATCATTAGTGCGAGTGAGTACACGGCTTGCTCCCTGTTTATATACAGTAGCTTGGGGCACTATCTACAGTACCCCACACTCACTTGGACTGATGTTACCTATGTCAGGTAATGAAGTGTCTGCAAGCAAACAACCAAGCTCAGGGGGCACCGAGGACTCCACAGTTCAACCCTGAGCTACATATATACTCTTCCATTGGAATCTGTAAACTGCCCAGAGTGGCTGGGAGTTGGGCTGTATATAAATTTAATAAATAATAATAGCAAATATTATTATTATTATTACCTAACAATTTCATAGTGGTTTTCACATTTTATTTTATTTTACATTTTGTAAAGTCTTTAAAACACTTTACCAACCCAACAGGTGCTAATGCTGTCTAATAACAAAAAGCTTGGTGAAAGAGTTGTGAATTTACAGATTTCCTGAAGGTCAGATGCAGCTCCAAAGGAAATGTTTTCCATAGCTGGGAGCAATGCAGGAGAAGGTCTTCTCCTTCATACCAGAGACACAGGTCCTCTCCTGCTAAGGAGGTCCTCTTCTGCTGAACTTAACACCCAGATAGGCTTGTAACAAGAGAGGCAGCCCCTTATACAGCGGACCCTAAGCTGTTTTGTTTCTACAGATTTGATATGTATTCCTTCCACTTCCTCATCCAAGCCCTTAATTTTTTTATTAGCTGTTTTAAGATAGGAAAAACAGGAAATACTTAAAATAAGTAAATTATGGGATTCCAGGCCCCAAAGAGGATTCCATTATTAGGCAGGAAGAGGCAACAGTCTCAGATATTTGCCTTTCCCCCCAATGTTTGCTTGTTGCTGTCCTAATTTGACTGGCTGTCCAATTTAATTATTCCAATGTCTCATGGAGAGCATCACTGGGAAAAATTAATTTTTTAAAACCACCCTATAGCCAAAGCTCTCTGTGCAGTTTATGATAAAGCTTGCTAAAAAAAAACAAAACCCTCCAAACTAAAAAAGTTAGTTTGTTCGGGGTTGTCTCTTTTCTATTTTTTTTTGAAGTTTAAAAATTGTCTTGTTAATTGTGCATGCATAAAAAAAATAAATAAAATATGCTAAAATACAATTTGAATAAAAATGTGTACAGTAAAATGCAAAATAAAAAAACACCATATAAACTAGGCAGCTGCATGGTGGTCATCCAAAAACTAAAACAACATGATTTAAAATGCAATGAAAATGCAATGAAAAGCCTAGGAAAATAAAAAGGTCTTCACCTGGCACCAAAATGTTGCTAGCTGGAGGCACAGATGAGCCTCTCTGCAGGGGGAATGAGGTGCCACCCCAGAAAAAACTCTCCCCCTTGTAGAGGCCCATCTCAACTCTTTTGGTGAGGGGACCTACTGGAGAAGATGGCCTCATTAGATGATCAGAAGGTCTGGGTAGGTACATATGGGAGAAGTAACCTGGTTCTAAGCTATTTACAGGTTTCAGATCTTCACTAAGTTTTTTTTTAAGTAGCCACACTGGCTGCTTCTGCAGTCTTCATTTTTTTTCTCTTTGGAGTTGTTTGCAATTGTAATATGATGTTATTCTGGAAATAGAAGGCTGAAGTCCTTTCTGAAACTATTGCTGTCTGACACAGTGGAAGAATGCCGCTCATTACTGGAACTGCAGTAAGTATTAACTTTAGGACAGTGTGGGAATTGTTCTGTGTTTTAAGCAGCAAACTACCCTGGAGTGGCCTGTCAAGAACAGAAAGAATCTGATTTAAAGGACTGACTGATGTCTATATATATTTTAGCAATGAAAAGTAAATTTTAACCTGAAATATTTTTCCAGTCCTGTTACTGCCAGTGACAGTGTTTTCCCAGGAATTTTCTCTGCAATATTCGCCACAAAACTCTGCAGAGTCTCAGCAGGACCTTCCATGCTAGCCTGCAAAAACACGAAAGAACAGAAAGGCGAGCCTTTAGCTTCTTGAGCTGAAGCAAACGTTCGGAGTCACTCCAGCCACTTAGACACAGCTCAGGTGATTTATCCAGCAAAAGTACAAGAAATGCCTTGGTGGACTACCCCAAAGGCTCATCTCAAGCAGTGTTGCATAGTGATTGACCCAATGCACCTGACTGGCCCATCCTGAAACCCAGAGTCCATTCCCACTGTTGCTTCCCAGCAGGAGACATCAAAAGTGTGATTCAGGAGGTACTCAGCTATTAGGACTAGTGGCCATTGAGAGCCTGCTCCTCCCTGAATTTGTCAAGTAACAGCATTGCAACTGATACACCCACAAGGAGGGCTGGTTAGTTTTGCAGCCATCAACTTTTCATAATGAAAGAGAACATTCATAACACCCGAGTCTCCTTACTCTTTATTGTATCATGTGAAATCTAAATAATTATTTAAAAAACCCATGTTGCATGTTGTATTTAAAGTTACAGGATTTTCTTTTTTGTTTTGAGCTTTTAGTTGGATACTGCTAGGCTGATTTTACCTGCTTATTGTTATGAATCATTGCAATGAACTCTGGGAGCAGCACTGGCAGTAGGACATTGGGTTCTTCCATCCAGTTGTCTTCTTCAGCCTTCAGACAAAAATGTAAATTTAAAATAGGAGGGAGAAAAATACAAGGACAGCTAGTGTGAATAAAAAGAAACAGCAAATGGATTCATGGCCAAGATTCCTTCAGAAGCAAAGATCAACCAGGAAAATAAATTACTTTAATCAGAAGTACCAAACAAAGGATTGCAGGGGAAGACACGTACTGTCATACCTGCACTAGGCCAGTTTTCCTTCTCCAGGTGATACTGCAGGGCACAGCTTGGCTTTCAATCACACAGCTACTCTCCATAGACTGCAAAGCAGCAAGGACCTGATCTGCACCTTCTATCTGTAAGAGACCTATTGGAGGCTACAATTCAAGATGGATCCCTAAGGAGGAGAGGAAATGAACACATAAGGAAGCTAAGAGGAAAGAGACGTACCTGGGTCTAAAACTACTTGAATGTGTTTCAGACACTGCTCTGGTCTTTGGGCTTTCCGAAGTTGGACCAAACCCACTGCCCTCTCTTTTTCTTGCTCCTGCAGCCGCTTCTGAGCTCCTTGTTCTCTTCTCTTCTGTGGGGCAACCTGGCGAGCTTTGTCCAAGTCCTGATGATTCTGCTTTGTATTTATCTGAAGGAGGAAGGGCTTCAGCCTTATTTGGTGGGAACCATCCTGTACCTTATCGTCAGAGATGCAAACTGGAAGTTGGGGCAAAGGCTCAGCATCCCATGAAGATACGTCCTGATCACCGTCTGACAGTTCCCGAGTGCTGGGTGCCATGTTTTCTTGGAGATCTGAGTCAGCAGGTAATGACTCCTGCCAGCAGGCAGGCACCAATTTTTCATCGCTGGCACAGAGCCTGTTTTGCCCAGTGGACTCTTGGCCGCTCTTTGTTTGGATCTTAGTAAATGAAGAAGCAGTTGTAGAGGGTCTGGCTACCAGCAACTTCCTTTGCAGCCTTTCAGCCAAGGGGACAAGTTCTTCTTCCTCTTCACTCTCGCTACTGGGCTGCATTCTCGCATCTATAGGAGCGCCCATCTTGACTGAATTGCGTGGACCATAGGGCTTTTTCCTGGCAGGAGAGCAAAGGGATGAACCCTCTGAGTCTGAGCTGCAGAGCACAATTACCTGGTTCTGAGAAGGAGGCTGGATGCTGTTTCTTGGATCAGGAGGTGGCTTGGTTACAGAAAGGAAAACTGGTAGTTCCTCACAGTCACTGTCACCCAGTTCTGGGAACATGATGTTTAGCTTCATGCAATGAACAGGCTGGACTGGAATGGTGTGACATCTAAAGAAAAGAAGCAAACAATTGAGTTCAACAATAGAAAGTTCTCCCTCTTCAAAAGCCACATTCCCCCAGGGATAATTGGTCAGGATCTAGTGCTGGAAGACAAAAGAGTCAAAGCCAACTGTGGGAGAGGTCAATCAAAATCAAGTAACCAGAACTTGCTCTTGCTCCTTCTATTCTCCTGCCTGGTATACTCCTGGATGAGGAACAAATCGCTCTTGCCTGGACTTCTGAAGTCAGGATGAGGACCATAAGTTACCACCCTGGGTTTAATTAATGCAACGTCAAAGCAACAATCTTCACGACAGCTCTCCCCAGGTGACTTTTCTCCATGTGTGTTTAAACTATAGTTCACAGAATTTCCAACCAGCATAAACAATGTCCATGTTTTAGGAATTTGGGAAGCTGGAGTCTGCTCATCTCTGGAGATAACTCATCATGTTGCTTAGGAATTCTGGATGTTGTAGAAAAACACATTTGGAGGACACTATTGAGGAAGGCTGCTCTAAGGACCAGGAGACGGACACTTTTCCAACACTTACCAATTCAAAGCCTTCAGTGGGCTCCCCTGCTAATGATAGTCTTCTCAGGAGCTGCAGATGGTTTGGCTAGCCAAGTGAAAGGATGGCATGCCCCCAGGAACTCAGCAGTTAGTGATATCCAGCCCTGATTGCTAAATAGTACATGCAGGGGAAGGGGTGAGGGGACACCATTATACCTTATGGTCACCCTGGAACCTTCAAAGAACATCTACAGCAGAAGCAGCTTCTAAAGTCTGTGGAGTGGACCTTTCCTATCACTGTCCTGCCAAGGATTTAATAACTCATCACTGACTTCCTCCCTCTGTCCCTTTCAAAGTGACTATGTTTTATCATTTATTCATATTATTTCCTCTGTTCTCAGGGATTATGCAATAAAAAATAAAAGCCAGCAACAGAATTGGCAGAACAGAAAGGTCTTTAGAACCACTTAAAACCTCAAAGTAAGCAAGTCAAGCCAAGTTTCCAGGAGAAGGAATTCCAAAGATAAGGGGCCAACACTGAACAATTCCTCTGCCCACTCCTCCTCCAATTATTTGTCAGTCTGATGGTTTTTAATGATGAGTCAGAATGCAAGATCTCTATTATCATTTTCTTTTTCCTATACTCCTATCAGACAGAAAGGCAGCATATTTCCATTTCTAAATACAGAACATTGATCTCCATAGATTCTACTTATTTGTGTTATGATATACACCAAGTTTACTTACAAGAGAAGGGTTTATAAACCACCATTTCTTTGATCTGAAACAAGCAGGATTCTGTCACCAATTTTCTGAATTTCTCCTAGGGAAAGAGGATACCCATTATAAAACAGTGTTACTTGGGACTTCAATTGTATAATCTATTTTATTCTCAAGCCAGACAGAATAATGACACTTCTACTGCAGGAGTGATCAAGATGGATATGGACCAACTCAAATAGGAGAACCCCAGCAAATATAATTCAGCTGCATTTAAATACTACAGCATAGATGAAAGATTGTTTCCTTTGTAATCCTTTACTAATGTTGTATTCCTTATTTGTAGTTACAAGCAGTCCTACACTAAAATGGGGAGTCAGTTTCTTTTTTTTGCCCAGGAAGATGCCAAGTTGTTTGTTTTGGAAGGATGGGGTGTAAGAATCCTTACCTCCTGGAAGAATTTCCATGTTTCTTATGAGCTGTTGCATAGGCTCTGTTTCTGTCTGCTAAAGGTTGTTGACATTTTCACAAAAGAGACCTTTCCCCCCCTTGAATAGTTGTTTTTTCCTTATGCTGCTTGATCTATAGTAAAAGAACATGCCTGCTGTCCTTTTGCATATGAAACTTACAGCTGCAACCCTGTAAACACTTAGCTGTGGACAAACTCCATTGAACTGAGTAAGGTTTATTTCTGAGTAGAGAGATATAGAATGCATTGCAGTGTGAACTATATCCACATTTGCAGCTACAGCCCTGCGCAGGGAAGGGGATCTTCTCAGTACACATTCACAGGATCAACTGCTTCAAGTTGCTGCTGGCTTTAATGCTACTTTAAAACCAGAACAGCTAAAGATGACTTAAGCCTGCCTTGCTGATGGGGTGAGAGCAATGGTGAAGAAAAGTTTATACAATGGTTAGATGCAAGTGGAAAAGGCTCTTAGGGGGCTGACCTAGCACTGTTACCTGGAATTTTAGGCTTCATTATTACCTTTTTAATAAATAAAGCTAATAATGCTAATAATAAAGCAACTAAAGAGTAGGGAACATATTCTGAAAGTCCTTGAATACACTTGCAAGGTTTAAGAGAGATTCAAATCCAGCTGGGAAAGGGAGTGGCGTAACCCATAAATTTGCCACTTGTGGAATGTTATCTGTAATCAATGTTTTCACATGTTCAATTCTCACACGTAATCAATGTCTTTTATTGTTTGATTAGTTGCTTTCTGATGTACCACATATACCATATATATCATTTGTTTCTGTACTCTATAAGAAAATTTGACACTCCCCCCCTTTAATAAAGGCTTTTCGCTTTGCCTGAAATACTTCTTGTGATTCATATTGTTGGGTAGGGGCGAAAAAGCCACTTTTGCAAAGGGTAAGTGTTTTTCTCTCCCCAATTCAGGGAAATAGGTTCCTTCAGCTTCACCCAACTTGGGGTGTCTGAGTTTCTAGGCAACAGCATAAGGTATTGTCCAATGGCAACATGTATACATTTTTATAAAATACCAGACATCCCAAGCAAATCATTACACCTTTTTTAAATCTTGCAACAGTCTCCTATTATGGAAAGATTCATCAAAAGTGTTATGAGATTCCTGATCACACAAACATCAGCTTCCAGAATTGCTTTAAACAAAGAAGATAGAATTACAGTACTGTGCCACGCATTGGAGGCAAGTCTGAACCAGCTTTGGAGTTCAGCTTGCTGACTTTATGCCCCAGCTGGAAAGTTGTTGGGGAGATGAAGCTAAGCCCTCCTGGTATATCGGTGGTTGGTAGAAATCGCTTAATTTAAACAACACTCGTTACCATTTCTAGAGTCATCGGAGCAATGTGAAAATAACCGGGAGACAAGCTTCATATATCCATAACGGCTAGGAAGGAAGGAAGTCTCGCAAACCGCCTTGAAATATGACCCCAGCCTTCCTTACGTGAACTCGGGTGCTCGTCGTCTGAAGCCAGACTTCTCTGTTTAGAAAAACATAAGAAACGCTTCAGCTCTCACCCCATCGCTTTCGGTCTCTTTGCAACGGAGCTCCGTGGCCAGGCGCGCGCTCGCTCGCTCATTCATTCATTCAAATTCCGCGCTTGGCGCCGCCGCTCCCGGACCCGGAAGTGCCGCCGCGCAGGGCTGGGCGCTCCGCCGGGCGGCGAGGGAAGGTCAAATGGCGGCGCTGCGGGGCGGGCTGCTCTCTTTGGGCGCCGCGGCCGGCAGACAACGTGAGTCAGAAAGGTTGGGGCGATGGAAGCTGGCTGGGGGCGGTGATGAGCTCTGGGGAAAAGGCAGCGGCAACGGTGGGACTCCGAGGTTTTGGAATTTAGTGTTCTGGTGTTAACGGGCAAGAAGGCAGAGGGTGGAAGGCTTACGCTTGGCGCAGGCGATAATAAAGCCAATCCCGCCTGCGCCTGATTACTTTCAAGTGGGTCGGAGGAACGTGCTCCTCCGGGCACGTGCACAAGGTTTGCAGCCAAATGGGCCGGTCCTCTGCAGAAGTTGGCGCATTTCCCCCCATCCACGCTTAAGAGCGAGCCTGGGAAGAGCCCCGCAAAGCTCGGGAGCCTGCTGGCTCTGCTGGGCGATATTGTGAGGGATTCTTCTAAAAGCTTTGCCCCCTTGGGGAGTTCGGTTATCTCCCCTTGGCTGGTGTCAGTAGGTGCTGTTTTGTTTTAACGGCGCAGTAGGTAGACTTCGTCGGCTTTTAGAATCTGTTTTGTTCTGTCTTGTTAGTTCAGGTAGTCCCTCTCTCTCAGCCCTAGGAAGAACCAGGCCAGGGCAGACTACTTCTGAAAAACCTTGCCAAGAAAACTGCAAGGACTAGTCCAGGCGGTCGCCTGTGGTCAAAAGTGACTCAAAAGTGACTGCACACACACGCACACACAACAGGGGGAGAGGTCAGAGGCTATTTCCTTCTTCCCCCCCCCCTTTTTCGTTCTCAGGCCTACAAACAGGTTTTTTTAAAGAGAGAAATGGCAAAAGAGCTCTGATAGACATCGTTGCATTGTTATTAAATGCCTAGTTTTAAAAGAAACTTGAATTTCCTGCATTAAATGTGTACAGTTGGTATAAAATACAAGAGCCCGCTGCTTGGTAGACTTGCACATACTCCTAGGGCTGCACTCAGGAACAATTTGATTGATTGATAAATAATTCAGAGTGTTTGGTTTGACCTCTGTTGCTTGACAGCTTGGTACTTGCAGGATTGCTTGTTTCAATTCCTGTAAAATCTACTGGTCCAGCATCTATGTCCTATGATGGGTTTTTACCCTGGAGAAGTTCAGAGAGGTCCCCAGTCCCATACTGAGGGTTTTTACCCAGGAGAAGTTCAGAGAAGTTTTGCTGAAGTTTGGTGCTTTTCAGTAGTGGGGCCAACCCCCCAGAACAGTCTCACCACCCTGAGATCTGGAGGTTGCAACTCTCCTGATTTTTTTTTTTTAGGAAAACTGTTCAAACTAAGCTTTGAGAGTTGGAATCTCTCTCATTCAGGATGCCCAAAGATGATGACGACAATTATAAGTTTAATAATTTTAGCAACTTTTAAAATGAATAATGTTTTTGGCTTGCTGTATAATTGTGTTTACATTGTAAAGTGCTAGGAATGTGGTAGTATAGAAGTAAAATAAATGGATGGTTGGGTCGTTAGTTGGAGGCCATGTGGTTGTGGGTTTTGAACTATCATTGATTGACTTTTTATCTCCGCTGTCCTTACAGGTTTTCTTATGCTGCTTTGATGGCATTTTAACTATGTTTTTATTTGTTGTTAGCCAACTAGAGTTGCTATGCCAAGATAGGCAGCTATATAAATCCACTAAAATAATTAATAAATAAGTAAATAGAAAAACAAAGCAAATTCCTCTTGGGGATGGCAATGACCTTTTGCCACTAATGAACTTGAGCAAGCTCATCCTAGAAACATCAAGTGTAGTAGGTAGGTAGAGCTTCACAAATGACAGGGAGGAGAGAAAGCTGGTGAATCCCTTAGAACAGGGATCCTCAACCTCAGCAACTTTAAGATGGGTGAGGAATTCTGGGAATTGAAGTCCACCCATCTTAAAGTTGCTAAGGTTGAGGAACCCTGCTTTAGAACTGCCAATAATCTTGCACTACCATGATCTACAGTTGATCTGAGCATCATCTATTAATAAAGATGCCTCTGGAGATGCTTGTGAAATCAACAAAGACAGGGCTGAACCCTTGCATTTTTAAATTTATTTTTTATTAGAAGCTTTGAATACAATAAAAGTATAAAATTAAAAGAAAAAGAGGAAAAGGGAAAAAAAGAGAAAAGAAGTGAAGTGAAAGAAAAAGAAAGAAAATATAGAATTATGACTTCCATCCCTCTTTCTATTGAGTAGTTGCTGTCTTACTCCTTCCCCTCCCTCTTTAACCCTTTTTAGCTCCCTTTTTAGCCCCCAAATCCACAAATAACCAATTCAGTCTTTTCTTCTTTCAACAAAAAGTCTATGTAAGGTTTCCAGTCTGTTGCTGAACCCTTGTGCTAATGCACAGAGCCAGACCCTCCAGAGTCACATCATCTCACCACCACCAAAACTCCCAGACCTCCACGCAAAGTTGATGCCCAATTTTGAATCAGAATGAAAATTTTAATGTATCTAAAAGAAAAGTTATTAAATACCTGGCAAATAATAGTGGTAATGACAATTTATTAAGGCATTTTTACCTCATCCCACTCACTTTTTGGTCTGCTGCATGCCATTCAAAGAACACATGACTTTGGCACAAAATAGGTTGAGCTCCCACACGCTTAAAGAAAAAAACACATTTTTCACCACTTAGTTAAGATTTTCCCCCCCTAGAACTACAGTATCAAAAGAACTTTGGAGCTAGAAGAGTACCCCAAAGTTCTTGAGGTTTCTCCTTTCTCTAGTGGCATCTAGCTGACCTTAACGGATCCTGAAAAAGCTAACTACAGTTGGGTCCTGGTTAAAATTTGTATGAGAGATCACCAGGAAATCCCAGAGCTGTAGACTAGACTGGGAAATTGGGGGGAAAAAAATCCTACCAGGAAGAAGAAACCACTTGTTGCCAAGAAAACCACATGGACATGTCTGTGTAGTCCTCAGGATTGAGACTTTTATGATTGGCTTCATAGTTAAGGAAAGAGGAAACAAATCACAATTTTGCTTAGGGCAATACATGAAGTCAGGCTACATGTCCAGCTGCTTTATAATTTAAAGCTATTTTCTAATTACCTTTTCTAACCAAGTGCCCTCCAAATGTATTGTACTATATAATTCCCATCAACACCAATTAGCACCGCCATATTTCCTGTGCAGCTACCTTGGAAACACAGGACATCAAATTTTCTTCAGGCTAGTAAATGTATTTTGTAGATTTACATCCATTTCTAAGCAAAGTATGAGCATTCAGCGTTAACCAAAAAAAGATTTTGTTTTTTGGAAAGATGAAGAATGCTGGTTTGAGGATGGTATCCCTCTCTCCCCCTTTGAAAATAGTACAAAGCCAGAAATTATTTCAGACTGTCTCAGACACAGTTTATGGCTGAATTGATTTGCACTTTGGACTGGAAACTGCTGGCTCACAGCTCACACTTTTTGTCATCACACTAATCATTTGGCCCTCTTGCTTCCCTCCCCCTCCTGTAACAGTTTTGCCTGTTCCCACATTCAGTGCAACTGCAGTGAGATTGGCATCCAAAAAAACTGGAGGGAGCACCAAAAATCGTGGAGGGAACAGAACTGGAAAAAGGCTCGGCTTCAAAAAAATCGATGGTAAGTTTCTTAATCACTTTGTTACAGTTTCTTGCTTTTTATTATTGTTGGTTGAACAGCCAGCCAGATGTTTAGACTGGATTTGGTATTTTTATCTCCAGTCCTTCCCAAGGACCTGGGATAGGCAGATGTTGTTTGATGGTGTTAAAGGTATCGTCACA